CCCCAAAACCCCAAAACCCCATTAAGCTGAAATTTAAACAATCATAGAAATTAAACATTCATTTAAATAATAGTATCTCAAATATTAAATTCTTTTTCAATAAATTCATCAACGAAATTGCTATCCTCTTGCAAATTCAAGTTAGTTACATCAACCTAATTAGTATTAGTTGAATTATCATATCTCTAAGTTTGAAATTAATCTTCTTCTTTAAAATCTATGTGATGACTCCCAAGATCTTTCTTCATTTCCTTATTATCATTATTAGGATTTTGTAATTTTTCTTGTAGTCTTAGAAGAATTGCTTTTTTGCCTAATTAATTTCTAATCTAACTATTTGACTTGTTAGCAACATTCTAATCAAGATTCTTTAATATTCTTTTGTCAATAGCATTTTAACTTATATTATGTATAACCTAAGCTAAGTATAATTTTGTAGTAGCTTTCTTATCTTTTGTTAGATCATTCCAAGTTATCAAATTCTATTCATTAGTTGAACTTTTGAAAAGTATAGATTTATCTTAGATTTTATTTTTACTTTAAATTTGATCTTACTGAACCTTATCTTTAATTCTAATTAGATTTTGCTTGAAATAAGGCATAAGTTTTCTTTAATATTTGGCAAGAGATACTTATATTATGAATTTTAGCATTTAATGATTCTTTAATATTCTCATAACTTCAAACTTTTCATCTAGTTTTACTTTAGCCTAGTTGAATAAAAGTCTTTAATCAAGTATTCTTAGATTTTTCTTCATACAAAAACATTATTTTATCAGGCTGCAATAAAATACGAGTATAGAGTAATTAAATGGGACTCAATTCTTTAAGTCATTAATTAAGCTTCCAAGTTTTGTAGCTTATTACAAATTTTAAATTTTCTCTGTTGGTAGTTCTTAATTATCTAAGTTTGTTTTTCCGATTTTTATATTCTTGTGCTATTTCACTAGTTAATCAGAGGTGACTTAAAATTATTGTTTAATCATTGATTGATAATACAAGTATTCTTACAGATTTGAAATTAATACTTAAACAACGATTGTGATAATTCCAATGATACCTCCAGTATTTGAAAGGGCATCTGAAAGGGTAAATAATTCTAAGTTAGTGGAAGTAATTACATCATCAAGAAGTATCTGGCATGATATCAACACATCCGATGTACTAATATCTCCTATTTGCATAGAATCTTCCCTTATAGTATAGTATGTCAAATTTTATTAACCTATTAAGTTGGATAATGAATTAGTGCTTTAAGTAAGATAGTTTTAACCTATCATTAATTAGTAATACAGTGAAAGATCAGACTTAGCTGTTGCATAAAAATTCTTCAAGATTGTTTTAATTGGATTTCCATACTTTTCATTCACGTCAATATATTAATTTGTCATTAGGATGTTTAATGTTACATAGTTCAAAATAACGTCCATTTCTTTCAACGAAGCACATGTTATATTTTTTTTCATAACATTAGGATTCGATTGATTACATCTTTTTACTTATATTTGAAGCATTTAAGCGGATTAAGTATAATATGATCCCTGAAATGCAAGAGTAGAATTAGTTGGGCAATTATACCTGTTGCTTATATCAAAAGCTTTAGTCTGAGTCAACTCTCCTTTGAATCTTCCTTCTTAACATTTAGATAGAGGTAATTCAATTAATTCTTCAATAAAATCTCCGTTAATATAACTGTTTTTCAACTGAGTAATGCTTACATCGACATATTTATCCAGGTTTAATATTTGGTTATCAGGCAAATAAGGGAAATCAACTTGAATACCTATGTCGAATTCTTATTAATTCATGATCACTTCTTTCTAATCAATAACTTAATTTACTATTTAAGTTGAATTTGTTATTGTTATTTTTCAATCTATCACTTTTAATATCTCTGATATTAAAAAGGCAAGAATAATCAATCGGACACAGATCGTAACAAAACCACCAAAAGTAGTTTTAAACGAAGAACTATTTTTGTAGGTAAATGCTATAGGGTGGCCAAATTAATCTAGTGATCTAATTAATAACTATAATTTATGTCTGATATTCATGGTTCTTCCCATTAATCTTTAATTAATTAACTGATTAGATTCGATATATTGCTATATTTAGAATTTAATGAATTATTTTACCACTTATTATATTTAGAACTAATATTCTCCTATAATTCAATCATTAATAAATGGAAGACACTTGGGGTGTGAAAAGAAGGCTGCTGATTACTATTAATAACTTCTCAGAACTAATGAAAAC